GACCGCGGTGCTGACGCTGCGCAGGATGAGCACGTTGCCCAGGTTGGCGTAGCGGATCAGCGTGCGCCGCCGCAGCCGGCCGTGCTCGTCCTGGCCCTCGACGAAGCCCGACACCAGGCACATGAGGCGGTCGGGCCATGGCAGGTTCTCGTACTGGCTCCACCAGCGGGTCACCACCAGGGTCACGTAGAAGCCTGGGCGGGAGGGGCGGGGATGCCAGCAGGCCCTGCCCAGCCCCCCCAGGAAGCTCGGAGCGGACGCAGGCAGGGCCTCGAGGGCTTTCTCTGCCAAGGGTTCCCCCGCCGATCGCAGAAGCCTGCCAGGCCCCCTCCCCACCCCACTAGGGGTTGGCGGGACCGTGATGTCAGCGCTTCCTGCAGGACGTCCAGCTCTCGCTGAAGTCTGCACATTTCCCTGAGCTACAGAGAGGCACCCACAGGCTCCGCACCTTCCTCCTCTCAGCGTGCCCCCCCCGCCCCGCTCCTGTGGTCCGCCCGGGGCCCGTCTGGAGTCTGGGCGGCCACAGCACCCAGGACAGCCGGAAAGGGAGCTCACCCAGCACGAAAGAAATGGGGATGAGCTGGATGTAGCTGTCGCAGTACAGAGTCAGCTTCTCAAACATCAGCTGCTGCTCTTCCGTGAGGGCCAGCCTGGGGGTGCGGGAGGAGTGGAGATGTGGGGACAAGGCAGGGGATGGCTGAGACTGTCCCCGGGTCCGGCAGAGCAGGAGGGGGGCTGTCTCACATCTTTCCCCAGGCCAGAGCTTCGCCTCCACTTTGGGAGGCCGAGGCGAGAGGATTACCGGAGGCCAGGGATTCGAGACCAGCCTGGGCAACTTGGTGGGACCTCGTCTCTACAGTTAACCAAAACAATTGGCTGGGTGTGGTGGCACGCGCCTGTAGTTCCAGCTACTCGGAAGGCTGAGGCGGAGGGATCGCTGGAGCCCAGCAGGTCAAGGCTGCGGTGGCTGTGAGCGTGCCTCTGCACTCCAGCCTGGGTGACAGAGTGAGACTCCAACTCAAATCAATACATAAATACATACATAAAAATAAATAAACAAGCCGGGCTCGGTGGCTCAGCCTGTAATCCCGCGCCTTTGGGAGGCTGAGGTGAGTGGATTGCCTGAGCCCCCAGGTTCGAGACCCGCCTGGGCAGCGAGACCTCATCTCTACAATAAATCAAAAAATCAGCCGGGCGTGGTAGCGCATGCCTGTAATTCCGGCTACTTGGAAGGCTGAGGCAGAAGGATCGCCGGAGCTCAGCAGGTCGAGGCTGCGGTGGCCGGGAGCGGCCACTGCACTCCAGTCTGGGCGACGGAGTGAGACTCCAACTCAAAAAATAAATAAATAAACAGAAAAACCAGCCTGGTATGTTGGCATGTGACTGTGGTCCCATTTACTCAGGAGGCTGAGGTGGAAGGATCACCTGAGATCAGGATGTCCAGGCTGCAGTAAACTGTGATCATGCCACTGCACTCCAGCTCAAGTGTCAGAGATCCTGACTCAAAAACAACAACAACAACAACAACAACAACAAAGACCAGTGTAAGCCGGGCTTGGTGGCTCAGCCTGTAATCCCGCGCCTTTGGGAGGCTGAGGTGAG